TCCACTGTTCACCCTCTGTGCCCTGCTTCGTCGTTCATTATGCAAGCCTGTTAGAGTACTTAGTGTGCGCCAGGCCCTGGGTGAGAGGTTGAGAATGGTGGTAAGCCTGCAGGAGGCCGGCGGCACGTGCCGGGAGACTGTGTCGAGGGTGATGTGTGCCCTGATGGGACACGCGCAGGGGCTGCAATGGTGGAAGCAGGGAATGGATGTGGGGACCCAGGGGGAGGCCACTGCTGTAATCCAAGCCAGAGATGATGGTGACGGGCAGTGAGGATGCAGATGGGCCTGAAAGGAGTCTAGGGGTGCAGACTTAAAGGGCTCAAGCAGTCCTACTGGGTGGAGAAGACCAGATCCTGGTTCTAGCCTGGAATTCTGGGTGGATGATAGTACTAGGAGGAGCAGGTTTGGTGTCTGGGATGTTGAGTTTGGAGGGTACTGGGGGAACTGCCCAGGATGGGCTGGCTATGTGGGTCTGAGGCTCGGGAAAGAGGTCTGAGCTGGAGATGGGGATCCAGGCATCAAATGCTTAGAAATGGTCATGGAGGCCACAGGAACCTGGAGGAGCTAGCCTGGGGAGAGTGAGTGGGAGGGCATGGCGAGCCAGAGGGGAGTGACAGAAGGAGCTGGGACAAAGCACCTAGGGAACAAGGCAGGTAAACTGCAGACAGCTAAGGACAGAGGGGGATTATACATACATGCAGCACAAGCACCCCCACATGCACAGGGTGCACCAACACACATGTCCATGCACGTGAGTATATGCACCCATGCCTCCCCAGGAACACGTGCCCTTGTGCTCATGCCCAAAGCACACACTTGAACACACATGCATATACTCCATTGCACGTTTACAAATGCAGAACGGGTGCACCATTGCACACATGTGTGCATGCATGTGAGTACATGCACACATGCCTCCCGGGGAACACATGCCCTTGTGTGCACATGTGCACACACACAAAAATGAGCACGCCCGTTACACATCCATGCACAGGCTTCTCTGGAAGTGGGGGGAATCAGCCGTGTCAGCGCTGCTGAGTAATTGATGGAGCTGAGCACTGCCAAGGACCCACCAGATTTATCCACAAGAAGGTCACCGTGACCTGGGGTCACTTCTCTATCAAGAAGTTTGCTATGAAGAGATGATAGAAAGCAGTAGTCAGAAAGGGGGCATGAAACTCAGGCAGGGCTCTGTTCACGTTCTGCTTTTTTAAAGAATAGAGCAGGTTTGAATGCTGGTGGGGAGTGGCCAGTGTGGAGGGAGGAGTTAAAGATTTAAGGGAGGAGAGCTGGGTATAGTGATCCCTGTGTAAACTGGAGGAAGGACCAGCTTGGGCAGCAGGGTCAGTGCTCCTTCCACTGTGGCAGGAAGACGGAAGACTGAGTGGCTGCAGTCACATGCAGGCTAGTGGGTTGGTGGCTGGACATAAAGTCACATCTGCTTGATGCCTTCAGCCTTCTGTTTTCTCAGTGCAGCAGGAGGTGCGCAGCAGACTCGGGCAGGTGTGGAGACCATAGACAGTTGGATCCATCCATGGCTGGGTTTTTGGCCGGATGTGTGGGACAGGAGGGCAAGTAACAAACAAATTGAGAGTATTGACTATAGAACGGCTGCATCATGAATCCCAGGGGTCAGGCTGGGAAGGGAAGTGGGTGCAGATAGAAGGGTTGGTGAGCGAGGCCGCTGCAGGGGGAATGTTGGAGAGCCGGCAGGTGGTGTTGAGTAGCCAGGGGGAGAGGTGTGGTCAGGAAGGAGTATCAGAGTGAGCTAAATGGCGGGTCCCAGGTCCAGGGTGTGGCCATGGGAGGGAGCCACTGGGCCAATGTTAGGATATTGGATTGAAGTAGGACCTGGGTCAGAGAGAAGCCTGAGGAGGGTTGAGGACCCCATGGGTGGATGAAAGAGGGAGATGGGGAAGGGGGTCCAGCTGATGACAGAGAGAGGAGTGTGCTGGGCGGGGGTTCTTGGAGCGTAGAGGGCAGGCCCAGAGGCAGTGCTTGGAAATCACCTTCTTCGACTCCTGGGGCCCTGGGGCGTGAAGGTGGGGCCCCTTCTCTTAAAGCACTGTCCTCAGGCAGAGTCAGGGGTCAGCGACAGTTGTGACTGACCATTCAGTGAGGATGCTGTGACCCTCAGGAAGGGTGCTGGGGGTCCTGGGGTGGAGAGAATCTGCCCCCTCTGGAGGACATTGGCCAAAGTCAGGTCAGCTGAGTGGGACCCTGGGAGATGCCCCAGGGAGAGTCCAGAGGCACCCAAAGGTCCTCCAGCCCATACCAGACCCTCCACGAGCACCTCCCAGTGGGTGGCCTGCTGGCTTTGGGCTCCCAGGGGCAACTCCCCCTCATGCCTGCAGTTGTCTGGCTCTCCCAGAGCCCCTCTGGTGGGCCCCCAGGTCTAATCTACTTCCCCCAGGCTGGTTGTGGTTGGAGGGTTCGCCTTGGCCTCCCCTGACTCTCCACGTGTTCTGCAGGACCATGGACCGCTGGAGACTTTCTGCAGTACGTGCCTGAGCCCCAGGAGCCCCACTCTGCTATCCTCACAGACACACTCAGTGCAGCACCTGCCGGGCCCCCCTCCACACACAGGCTGGACCCAGTCTCCCATCCCTGCCCTTCCTGCAGTGCATCCATAACCGAACACACGCAGATACCACACCACACGCTCACACAGCCAGCTGCACATTGTCGTCTAAATGTCCCACTCTCCACCCCAGACCCACCACGAGTCCTGCAGACTCGGGAAGGGTCTGACCAGCCCTGGCACTCACGGGTGCCTGCTCCCTGCCCCGTGGACTCATATGTGTACACACACACACACACACACACATACAAGTCACATGCAAAGAGCCTCCCTTAGCCTACGCCACCAACAGCTCTTGTCCCAGCCAGAAATGGTCAGAACAGCTTGCTGTCTGCCCATCCATCTGTCTGTCTGTCCCCTGGAGAAGACACAGAGTTGTCTCTGTACTCTCTGCAGCCAGGTGCTTGAGCCCCCTGGAACTCACAAAAGCTGGCTTTTGTTCCTTTCCCTCCTTTTAGGGACAGGAACTTTTGGGACTGCTGCCCTGGCCCGCCTGCCCCGCTCCCGCTACACCCTGGCCGGCCCAGGCATGTCTGATGGGCAGGCCCCCCTGAGGCCAGAGGGAAGGTCTCCTGGGGCTGCTGGGGGCCTTGGGCCTGAGCAAGGGTGAAGGGCCAGCTGCACCGATGAGAGACCTTTTTTTATTCTTTGGGCCTGCAGGAGTTCTGGATGCCTTTGGTTTTTTATTCTTTTTTTTTAAAAGAAAAAAAATGTTAAAAACTTCAAAGCCGATTTTTCCTGTTACAGAAAAACTAATATAAAAGCATTACCCCTGTCTGGCAGCCCATGGCCGTGTCTGTGTGTGCTTCCTGCCAGGTGCTGGCTGCTGCCTGGCTGGGGTGGGCAGGATCCAAGCACCTCAGCGCCTTCTGGACCAGCAGTAGTCAGGGCCAAGTTCAGTTCTCGGGGCCCACAAAGTAATCACTCAGGCAGACATCCAGGGATGCAGGGTTTAGTTGAAGGTAAGGTGGCCTGGAGGCATGTGCAGCCCCTCAGCTTGGTAGGGGTCAGCAGGTTGGGATGGGAGCAGCACACTGGGCCTGTGAGCTCCCTCTGCAACCCCAGAAGCTGGGCATCCAAGCAAAGGGCCTGCCAGCTTTGGGGTACTCAGGGCTCCTGTGCACTGAGTGGGCATTCCTGATGAGAACTGTCCCATGGGGACACTGGAATGGGAAGGGGGCCGGAGGCAGGCCTGGGAGCTGGGGCAGAGCCCACCTGGGGGCCCTGGTCTCTGCAGGTCTGCCCAAGAAAAGGTGGCAAACGTGTTCAGTGTGCCCACCACCCCCAACTGGGCCAGAGCTGGACCAGAAGGCAGCACCTGGCTTAGAGCAAAGAAGAACCTATGATGGACACAGCTGCCCCACAGTGGACGAGGTGCCCAGGAAGCAGTGGTCCCTTGCTACTGGAGGTGTGTGAGCATGCTCTGTCAAGCCCAGTAAAGAGCAGGTTCCTGCCTTGTGTGGGGCAGGCTCCATTGCTCAAAGGGCCCCAGAGATGTGACACAGGGAAGGGGCCACTCAGCCAGGCCACACAATGATGGGAGCTACGATGGCTTGCAATCCGACCCACCTAGTGATTAGGCCTTAAGGAATGAAGGCTGCTCCCATGGTGGAGTCTGTAGCCCCCAGCCCTGCAGTGTGAGGGGGAGCCTGGGGCCCTTGGGGAACTCCTTAGACTATGGCCCTGGGAGGAGGATGGAGGTGGTTCAGGATTGGGGCTGGGAGGCAGGTACCCTCCTGATGCTCTGAGAGACCCTGGGAGCTTCAGTGTCTTCATGGACTCCACAGCACAAGACTCCAAAGCACATCCAGAGCAGGCTGCATGGCCAAGGCTCTCGTGTGTCCCCTGCAAGCCTCCTCAAGGCACCTTAGGGCTGAGGAGATCGAGGGAGGAAACAGCTTCAAATGCCCATGGGCATATCCCCTCCTTAAAGCAGAGCATTCACTAATGGGAGCCAGGCTGGCTTTTGTGGGGACTGACCTCAGGGCCCTGCCTGCAGAGCAGGGCCCAGGCAGAGTGGCCTGTCCACACTGTGGCTGTCCACAGGCCCTGGGCAGCCTGGTCTGCACTCGGCCTCTTGCACGTGACAGCTCAGACAGGCCTGTCCTCACTCTGGCCACCTGGACAGGCTCATTTGCTCTCTGGCTGCCCAGGCCGGCCTCTCCACACACTGACGGCTTAGGCTGATCTGTCTACACTCTAGCTACACGGACAAGGCTGTTTACATTCTGGTTTCCTGGACAGGCCTGTCTGAACTCTGGCTGCCCAGACAGACCAGTCTGCACTTTGACAGCCTCTATTAGTCCAATAAAGAGATGCTGGCTGGAGTATGGTTGCTGAGCCCACAAGACTTGAAAAACAAAATACCTTTATTTAGCTATCACTGAATTTGCAAACACAGAAAGGAATAGAAAATCTAAGTCCACTCTATCACGCAGGCTTTTGGGGAGTGCTGACCTCAGGGCCACGTGGGCAGCTTGACTGTAGCATCCCAGTGAGTCTGCCTCCCCAGTCCCAGCTGGCCCACCTGTCCAGGGACAGGCTAGCCCAGACTGATGACATCCCTGTCTCCATGTTGGGGGCGATCTGTGAGAGGTAACAGGACACGTGGAAGGCAGCAGGTCTTGGCCTTGGACTGGGCCCATCCCTGGGGAGAGCTGTTTGTCTGAGGCCACGTGTTATGGGGCAGGGTGGGGGCTGGCCTGGGCTGGGACACAGTTGGGGCAGAACCAGGACATTGTTACATCTTCGTAAACTGAAAACAGCGGGGCTCCTGGAGAGGGGCAGAGCCTCTCTATCTGGGCATCTGGCCCTGTAGGCATCCCTGTCCTCCAAGTGAAAGCCTTGAACTAGAGCTTGAACTTGAACTAGCCTTGTCCTGGCCCTGACAGTACTTGTTCTGAGACCTGGGGCAGGTGTTTTCAGCCCTCAGAGCCTCAACTCTGTATCTGGAAAGTAAGGACCATAATGTCTGTCTGCTGAAATGTCACAGCCAGGCTTGGGTGATGTTCCGTCACTGTCTGGCTGGGTTTCCCACATGCACTCTTGGCCCTCGCTGAGACTCCATGTTCTGTTGAGTGGAGCCCGTCTCTCAATTGTGTGCGCCTGGGCTCCATGCTCCTGAAAGTAGCGAGTTGAGATCCGGTCCCTGGCCCCTAACCCTGGATCTCTGCAGGCTCAGACATTGGTCTCAAGCTCACTGATCTCAATGGTACAGTGGTCCAGACTGGAGGTGGTTGGCTCCTCATCCTGTTCCACCTGGACAGGGACATGGTGGGGACAGGTGGGGCCCAGGGTCAGCTCTGAAGCCTCGGCCACACTCTTCACACAGCCATTCTGCTGGGTCGCCACAATCTCCTGGAGGCTCACAGGCTTGGTCTCGCAGGGCGGCAGTTTCTGGGGAAGGGAAACAGTCTTGGCAGCAGCAGGAGGGACTGAGGTTAGATACTAGGGAGGACTGAACCAGCAAAGGGCTGGGAACAACATGATTGGTTTTCCTACAGACATGCTGTGGAAACTTGATAGGTCACAGGGCCTCTCTGGGCTCTAGCTCCAAGCTGTCCTGCCACTTCCTGGGACTATCCTCGTTGAGGAGGACCCCTGACCCCCGGGGTCCAGTGAGGGAATGGGTGGCTCCCCGGCCTGGGCTTCAGCATCCTCCCCATGGAGTGGGGCAGCTTGGCCCACCTGGTTACTGAAGGAGCCCTGAGGACCACGAAGCCCTTAGCAGACGTACAAACACTGGCATTGTGGTTGGCAGGACACTAGGGCAGGCTCCCTGAAGGAGTGGACTCTGTTTACCACTGCTCTTCCTGTGTCTGGATCAGCACCGGCCACTGCGGGTGCTTAACTAATAGGTGTTAGGGAAATCTGTCACCCCTGGTGCCCATGAGGAGACCAAAGCCTGGAGGCATGGAGGGATCGGCTGAGGGCTGCCCAGCTGGTGGGTGGCTGATGTGGGGCCTTGCCTACCCAACCCCGGCTCCACCCCCAGGCCCTTGGGCATCTGCGCTGGGAGGGAGGCACTGTTCTCACCTCGGTGCCCAAGTCCTGAGCAAAGTCCTTCCGGCAGATATGGGCCATGATCCCGGCAGCCAGTGCATCACCCAGCACGTTAATCATGGTACGGAAACGGTCCCTAGTGGGACAGGGTGGGCGGTGAGCGGCGAGCAGGAGGCACTTTGCTGTAAGAGGAGCTGGAAGAGGGCAGTGCTCACCCCGGCAGCACCCACAGGATGGCTGCCAGGGCAAGCCGCAGCCAGGCACTTTCCTGGTCCTCCCTGCCCACCACCCCTTTGGTGGTGCTGAAGCGGGGGATGCGGGGCGGGCTTCTCGGGCACGTGACTGTGCAGTAGCTCAGGGCCTGTGCTAAGAAGGCCTAGGCTCGGTCTGATGCTCAGCTCCCACTCTTGAAATTCTTTAAAATTTTTGAACAAGTGATCCTACTTTTTCATTTTTGAAAGCTGGGCCCCACAAATTATATAGGTGGGCCGGTGTCAATAGTACTGTACCTGCACTGTGCCAAAGCACGGCGGTTCCCCAGCCCACCCCGCGGGCCTGCTGCCCAAGCGGCACCCCCACTCACAGAGCCCAGTCGACAGCGATGATGAGGGTGATGTCGTCTGTGGGAAGTCCCACCGAGGTAAGCACGATGACCATGGTGACGAGCCCGGCCTGGGGGATGCCAGCTGCCCCGATGCTGGCCGCGGTGGCAGTGATGCTGCAGGGGGTGCAGGGAGCGTTGTTGGGCCCTGGCCCCAAGGAAGGAGCCAGATTGCCAGGGCCTCTGGGGATGGCAACGTGGGGCAGGAGTTGTTAGGACTGTCACATCAAGAAGTTGTTGGGGCAGGGGGCATGTGTCCCCTCAAGGACCTGTGGTCCCAGAGGCCCCATCCTTGGCTTCAGCAGAACCTCCTGAGCAGTTAGTGGAAGTCCCTGTGTCTGGAGCCACTGCCTCTGTAAGTTTCTGGGAAGCTTCACAGAGACTCTGACTGTCCATCGGCAGAGATCTGCCCAGCCTCCCTTGGGGGCCTGGTCCCCAGGGTCAGACTTGTACCTCAGGCTGGCATGTGAGGCCTTCCCCTTGGCCTGCTCCCCTCACCCCAGCCCCCTTCCCTCAGCTCAAGAATCCTGAAGGCCTTTCCAATGCACCCTACCCCTAATACACACTGGGGTGTGAGGTGTCAGGAGTGTACCTGATGGTGATGATCTGGCCGAAATCCAGTTCATAGTTGTTGACCTGGGCAATGAAGATGGCAGCCACAGCCTCGTAGAGCGCAGTGCCATCCATGTTGATGGTCGCGCCCACGGGCAGCACAAAGCGGGCAATGCGCCGGTCAATGTGGTTGTTCTCCAGCAGGCACTTGAAGGTGATGGGCAGAGTGGCTGAGCTGTGGGCAGAGGGGCCAGTTTCTGCCGACCACCCTCCTTAGGATGGTCAGGGCCCCCAGGGTGCCCGCCAGCCAGGGAGGGATGCTCTCTCCACCCCCCAACCCCAGGCAGCTGGCCCATCTGGGTAGGGGGAGAACAGGCTGAAGGGGCTTTGAAAATGGTCACATGGCCAGACTTGCCCAGGCCCAGGGCCTCAGAGATCCCCCCCACCTCACCGATACAAACACAGGCCAGGAAGGCCATTACCACTAGCAGAGCACCTACTATGTGCCAGGCACCACACTTTACAAACTCTCATCTGATCCTCACAGCTTCCTGCGAGGGCAGGGCTTTGATCCATTTACAGATGTAGAAACTGAGGGAAGGAGGGGCTGACCCAGCATCTTAGGACCGTGCTGAGCTAGCAAGCAAGCGGAGACGGAGAGGCCAACACAGGGCTCTGGGCCAGACGCCTTGGGGCCAGATTCCAGCCTCCCACTAGCCGAGTGGCCCTGGCACCTCCTTAGTATCCTTGTCCCAAACAGCACGTCCATTGCAGAGCCAGTAGGAGGAGTCAACGGGCGACAGTTAGAACAGCGTCTGGCACGTCACAGGCGCTTGTCAGTGGTGCTCTTATTGTTACTGTGTTTGTCACCGGAGCTCCCAGTGGCAGTGTCGGGACTGAAACCCAGGTTAGTGTGGCCCCAGAGCCCTTCCTCTCCCACAGGCCCTTGCCTGGGAAGCCCACTTCCACTTGCCAGAGGCCCTCCTGGGCCCCGGGCGTGCTGCGCCCAGGGCTGTGGTTCCGCCAAGCGGGGAATGGTGAGGATGGCCGGCTCCGGCTGGGCTTGGCCAGCAGCACGGGGCCTGGCAGGTGCTTGGGGCTTTGTCTTTCCCTCTCTCCACCTCCCTCTGCCCCGGGTGGGGGTTCCCAGACAAGGCTTCTAGGGCTCTTCCTCGCTGGGGTTCTGCTCCTCCTGAGTCCTGCACGAAGGGCTTCTGCTGCCAAGGGTGGGTCATGTGGCTGCTGGGGAAGGGGGTCTGTGGTGGCCCTCATCCCATTTTACAGATTGGGGAGCTGAAGCCCAGGGAAGAGAGGGCAGTAAGGGATGGAGAGAAGAGCCAGGCCTTTGGTGCTAAAGACTTGGGCTCAAGTTTGGGCCACTTCCCCCACGTGGCACTTGGACACTCTGTGTGGGGAGAACCACTCTTTCTTCACAGGGTTAGATGCCCAGTAAGTGACCACCTCCTTCCTCCCCCTTGCTCAACAGCTGGGTTTGCATGACTCTGGGTCTTCTGCAGTCAGCTGCGGTCTGGGATCCTTGGGCAGGTGTTCCTTCACTAAGCCCAGACTGGCCTTAGTGGGTTATCTCAGTTCATCCCCACAGCAACCCTTTGTGGCAGAGGCTACATTGATCCCCAGTCCGTATATAAGGAAACTGATGCCCAGGGAGGTCAAGTGACTTGCCCACAGTCACATAGCTAGTGGGTAACAGAACCGTGATTCAAATTCCCACTGTCTGGAGACACTGGCAAAGTTGTGATGGGGAAACCTGCCAGTGTCCCAGTGACAGAAGACAGGCAAGGTCCCTAAACAGTACAGGGCCTGACTCCAGCAGAAGCACTGCATGGCAGCGACAGGTGACAGTGATTGCAGACTCATCACTCTTCAGCTCTCTCTGCCCCTGGTGCCTGGAAGCTGACCCTATGCAGACTGAGTGAACCCTGGGGAGGTGGGCAAGTTGGGGAGGGCTTTCTGCTATTCGGGCAGGTGGGGGCTGAAGCATTGCATTTTCAAGAATAGGTCTTGTTACCATAGCTACCGCCAAGTTTGTGAAGCAGGTCACGCTGACACATTTTGTGGTTCTGTGGGTATGGGCAAATGATGGCTGGAGAGAAGGACGGCATTCAGCCACAGCCTCCTCCCCCATCCTGCCTGCTGCCCAGGGCTACCTGGAGGAGGTGGCCAGCGCAATGAGCAGCGCCTGGAGGATGCCTCGGATGAAGACGATGGGGTTCTTTTTGGTGATGAAGAAGTAGAGCAGGGGCAGGATAAAGAGGCCATGGACCACCAGTCCGCACACCACCGTGACCGCGTAGAAGCCCAGCTTCTTTCCAACCGTCGTGGGATTGTCCATCTCCAGGATCTTGCCAGCGATGAGGAACACGATGCCAAAGGGGAAGTACCTGGAATTGGCCGGGCAACCAACTCAGTGCTGGGTAGCCAAAGATTCCAGGCGATCCTGGCACCACATCACTGCCTGGCCTGACCCCCCCTGAGCCTCCTAGGGCTCCTATGAGGACAGAATGAGACTGTGTATCAAGGTGCCCAGCACATGGTGTCACTAACACCACCTCAGCCAGCCCAGCCCAGCACAACCTCTCACCCCTCTGCCTTCCCCACTTTCAGGCCCACATTTCAGCCCAGCAATGCCACAGGCCCCTGGGTGACCTTGGCAGGCCTCTGCATTTCCCCATCTGACTGTGCAAGGTTGGACTAAAAGATTCCTAAGGTCCGAAATCTGAACCCAGGAGCAGCAGCTAGTTGTCACTTCCAGTGTTTCCTTTCTCCAAAAGCTGAGCTGATGAGGCCCCATGTGATGGGGAAACTGAGGACGGGAGAGCAGGCCCAGGCTTATTAGCTCTTAGCTCTCCTCCAGTGGGCCTGATGGGGCCAGAAGTGGCCGGCCCAGAGCTGGAACCGGGGCTGGTCAGGGCTGGGACATCCAGGGGCATGCAGCCTCCCGTGCAGGTCTCTGCTCACTCCTGTGAGAGCAGAGGATGGGCCCATGGTGTCCCTCTGACTGCCCAGGGCAGATCTGGCAGGGGGTGGGGTGGGTAGACAAGGACCCTGCCCCTGCCCCCCATGACCAGACTTACCACACAGCCACCGCCACGATCTTCATGACAGACTCATTGAGGCACTGGCAGAAGCTAACCAGGGGAGCCCCGCTATCACCCATGCGGCCCAGCATGATGCCTGCGGTGGGGGGAGAGGGACACAGCACATCACAAACGCCGCAGACCAGGGTGCAGACATGCCCATGCCCATGCACGCTGGTGGCCCGGCAGGGACGAGCTGCGGCATGCACAGATCTCAGCGCTTGGCAGGCATCCCAGCAGCTTTTGATGCACCGGCACCTCCCCTCCACTTCTCCTCTCCTTCTTCTCAGCCTCCAGGCTGGAGCGGGGGCAGTGACCTCCCCACAGGGTTCTCATCTAACCTGCTCTAACCCTGCTCCAACCAGATCAAGTGCCATCTTCTTAAGATAAAAATGCTCCCTGCAGACACCCCACACTGGCTTCCCTGAGCTTGTAGACCATAACCAAGCTCCCTGCGCTTCAGGTCCCTCTGATCTGACCCCACCTATGACTCCCACCTCCATCCTTCTTTCCCTTCCACACTAGGCTCAGGAAGCGCTGGCCTTTTTACATTTCTAGAGTTGGGCACACACGGGCGTGACACATGCTGACTTGGACACACGGACACACGGACACACACACAAATATACAACTAACATGTGGACAGTTACACGTGCTCAGTAGACAGTGAACTGAGTCAAAGGGTCTCAAAGGTTTCTTTCACTCTGCCAATTGCTAAGAGAGGGCAATGGCTGGGGAGGAGGAAGAAAGTCCAGGATTGGGAACAGATTTACAGATGGGCTGAAGGCACTTCCAAACACCTCCCTCTCACACACTCAGGTCTCTGAGGTCCTGGCCCCTCTGTGTGCCTGGCCTTTTGACCAAGATGATAAGAACTTCAGTATCCATCACCGTCCATCCATTCATCCATGAGTCTACCCATCTCTCCTGCAGACTTTACTGAGTACCTGTACAAGCCAGTCACGTGGTGGCTGTGGGGTAAATGGAGAACAAGGTCTGTCTCTGCCGGCAGGGAGTGGACACAGCTTCCTTGCAGGCATTAAACAGCCACACAATTGCATAACTGCCTCAGGCCGGACGTTTAAGGAGTGACACAGAGGACTTGACCAGTCTAGGGGGTCAGGGAGACTTTCCTGAGGATGTGCTGCTCATCCAGAGCCCCTCAAGGATGAGGAAGGTGCAGGGGCGAGGAAGGGGCAGGAGCAGCCCAGCTGGGGGAGGTGGGGAGGGACCTGACAGGCCGCATGCGCGGCGGAGGCGGGAAGTGAGCAGGACCAGAGGAGCAGGATGAGCTGGCCCAGCGCGGGGCTCTGCAGGCTGTTTGGACCCATCTCTGAGTGCAGTGGAGCCAGGGGAGGCTTTATGTGGGACTTTGTGACCTCGTGGGGAGGACACACCAGGACAGGGGACTCTTCAGGCAGCTTCTGCGGAAACCAGGTGAGAGATGACGACGGCCTTGGACCAGGCTGGGGGCAGCGGGCAGAAGGAAGCACACAGATTGGAGAGAGATTTCAGAGGCGGGCGTGCTGGGATTTGGAAGTGGGCTGAGGCAGAGGGCGAGGTAGAAACTGACCCCGGGTTCTGTGCCTGAGCAACCAGGAGGATGGGGAGGCTTTGCACTTAAGAAGAAAACCCTGCAAGCAGCCAGGGAAGCCAGAGAGTCCCCCTGAGGCCCAGGCTGGTGCGGTGGGGAAGCTGATGCCAATTTTATAGTAAGAGTCATGATGACCCCTGGCCCGGCCCAGAAGGACAAGGTGGGGACTGACAAGCTAGATTGTCGTGGAGAGGTTAGGAATTCCTAGACTCCAAAGAATAAAAAAATATGTGTGGATGTCGGTGGTGGGGGGGGGCAGTGAAGGCAGGGGCATATCCACAGGTTTTGTAGATTTTCTGAAGCTCACACAGTTTGGGGCCCTCTTGAAGAAAAAGAATACAAAATTTAAAAAAGGAAAAATGATACAGGCTTCCGCAGGGGCTGGTACAAGTTAAGCTTCACCAGTTTCTTGGTATGTAGCCTGTGATGGGACTTGGGGACCCAGAGAAGAGTAGCAAAGGGAAAGATGTGGTCAGGGGGCCCTGAGAAGTGGTCTGCAGAGAGAGGTGGCCAGTGAGAAGGCCTGCAGTTGAGGCTGGAGGGGAGGAGTGAGGACTTTAAATTAACAGCAGCTGGGAGGGGGCCAGAGGCGTGGTCTTCTCTGAGGGAGGGCTGACGCCCCTGGAGGCAAACAGAACACAAGGATGGGGAATTCTGAGTACGAAACATTAGCTCCAACCAGGAAGAGGGCTGGAGGCACCCCTTCCCCCAATGGAATGGAGGCTTGAGCCATTGGAAAGGAAAGGGAGGAGCCATCTGGAAGATGGGGAGACTCCAGGCTATTCAGGTTACTGGACACGGGGATGTGGGGAGGGGTAAATGCAAGGAGGCCAGGCTCCAGGGCACTGCCGGAGCGTGGGTGGCAGGTGGCACGTACCCATGGTGGCAGAGAAGATGACGATGCCCAACACATTCATGCCGTCGCTGGTGCCAGGCTCTGACTTATAAACGACCTCGGGTGGTGGGGTCAGGTCCAGGGCGAAGTTCTGCACACGAGAGCCATTCTCCTCCTGGACCCCGTAGATGAGGATCCGCCGGGGAGGGGCTTCCTCTGATGCCAGTTTGGGGGACTTGATGATGGGGGTGGTCTTGGTGCGGTACTGGTGGGTGACACCCCAATTAGGAATGAGTCAGAGCCAAGTGTTGTTATTAATATCAACAATAACAACAGTAATAACATCCTGGAAGCACATTTGCATCTGCTCATGAACTATTTGACAATAACCATGTGAAGCAGGCAGGACAGGGATTATTATCACTATTTCAGAAAAATAAAACTGCAATTGCTTCATCTGTCTACACACTACCCAGATACACCTCCCTCCACCCCTCCTTCCCTCTTCTGTCTGTGTACCATTATACTCACCCGGGCCGCTCTCTAACCATCCATCCATTTCCTACCTGAATAATCTACCTAGATAACCCTTCATTCACCTGTTCATCCCCTTTCAACCATCCATTATCCATCCACCTAGCAGCCAGCCAGGCCTGCCTTCCTCTGATGGAAATTTGGACTTTCAGTTTGAAAAGCTCAGCTCACCCTGAGCTCTCTTGATGAGATGAGGCCCCAGCTGGGAAGAACTGAGTAGCTGAGTTGCCTACCTTTCCTCCCCAGCTCCCTGGGTCTTTTCCTGTCATTCCTCAGGTACTAGGAGCCCAAGCAAGTGGGTCTCCTATCCTCCCTACACCATAGCATCAATAAGGCAAGGCTTCTGTGCAATGGAAAAACCCAGAAAACTCATGGGACCTAAAGTTTCCGTGCTCAGTTCCCTTGTCTGTAAAATGGGGTCATAATGGTTATCTACCCTGTCAGGTTAAATAAGACAGTGTATGTAAAGTGCTGACAACAGTGCCCGGCACATGGTAAGCTTTCTGTAACCACTACTGCTAGTATTGCCATCACCACCATCATTATCATCAGCATCAGCATCATTCCAGTATTGAACAGTCTGTGCTAAGTGCTGGGTCTTGAAGGATGGGTAGGAGTTTGCCAAAAGATAAAGGGCATTCCAGGCAAGGATAAAGTAGAGCAGTGTTCTCTCTTTCTCTCTCACATCTTCAATAATTCCCCATCAGTGTTGGAATAACATCCAAACTCCCTAGCCTAGTATTCAGGGCCCTTCATGACTTGGATATTTCATAGATGAAGACCCAGGAGGTTAGGAAAGATTCAGTGATTAGCTCAAGTTTTCACAGCTCCTTACTTCAGAGACTCTTCAACCCTCAGCCACCTCCTCTGTGTCTCCAGGCCCAATACAGGGCCCAGCACAGGGAAGAGGATCGGGAAATGCCTGTTGGATGGAGTCAACAAACTGGCTGACATTTTAGAAGAAGAAAAGAATCGGAAATTTTTAGAAGTGCAGACAAAGATTGGTGTACATGGTTGTTTACCATAATTTCTAAAAGAGGAAAACTTGGAAACCAACCAAAAGTGGAAATGGGGAAATAAATTGCAGCCCAGCCTTATAACATGCTATTACACCATTAGAAAATACTGTATTCTTAAGAAACATTTAATAACCATGGAAAGTGCTCATGATATAATGGGAGTGGGGAAAAAAGCAAGATGCACACTGTATATATACTATGATCCCAATTTTATTTTTTAAAAACATTTCGCAGAGGGGAAAAAAAAGAGACTAGAAACATACCTTCTACCACCACTATCAGCAGGTGCGGGAACTAGAGGTGATTGTTATTCTCTGCGCTATGTTTTTCAGTATTTTCCTAATATTTTACAGTGAGCATTATTACTATTTTTATTAGAGGGAAAGGATTACTTTAAAAAGATGGAGAAAGCAGGCTTAAAAGCAGACAGGTCTGGGATCCCTTGTTCCCTCCAGCTACTAGGCAAATCCTTTAATCCTTGTGAGCCTCCGTTTCCTCCTCCAGGACAGGGGCTGGCCCTACCTCGGGGCAGGGTGAATGTGAGGACTGAGAGAGATGGAGTTTGTGTGAGCACAGGTGTAAACAGAGCAGAGAGGGTACCCAGCTGGGGCTTCTCATAATTCTTCACGAAAAGTTGGAACCCAGGGCAGGGGTGTGGCCACAAGAGGCATTCAGGATCTAGGTCTTCCCACCTCCCCTCCCCTGGAGCATCCTGCTCCCCATGAGGCTGGGAGACTGATTGGGCAAACCTGCTATTTCCTGGCAAGGCCCGCTGGCTGTGCCTGCCCACCCCTCCACTGCCCAGGGACCCACTCACCTGTTTGAATGTGGCTTCCACCAGGTTGGCTGGGAACATGTTCCTGGGAAGAGAGTCAGCAACTGAAGAATTCCAGGGAACCAAAGAGGGAGCGCCCTTGGGGTTATCTGAACACCTCCCTGGCAGTGGCAGCTTTCCATGACCCAGCCCCACCTCCCTCTGCAGTCAGACCTCTTTCCACCACCCCCACCCCGACCCCCAGCCCTTAAAGTTCCAACACTAACTGCATACAATTCCCATGAGTGCTGCATACTTTTCCAGCTCCAGGCCTTTGTCCACATTGTTCCTTCAGCCTGAAATGCCCTTCCCACTTCTCTGGCTAACTCCTGCTCCAATCAAGCAGAGGCCAAGCTTTTCTGACTGCTCCAGGTCGACCCTGTGGCCTTTCCCCTGTGGGGCGCCTACACTCCAACGCAATGCCTGGTGGCACTGGCTCATGTGTCTGCCTCCCCCACAGACCAGCTTTCCTGAAGGCGGGACTTGGTCATTCACATCTTATCTGTGGCTCTCAACACAGAACCTGGCACATAAATGGGATCATTATTCTTATTCATATTGTTTTCATGAAGCTAAAGGAGGAGGAGGTCTTGTCCTATCAGAAATGAAAATACACTATAAAGATGTAACTGTCAAAACAGTGAGCTACTGACACAGCCGTCAACAGAAAGATCAATGCAGTGGAGCCTGTAGCGTGGAGACGGAACCTGGGACATCTAAGTATTTTGTATTTGATAGACGTTGCTGCACAAATCAGTAAATAAAGAAAGACTCATTCTAGAGAACTGCACAGCTGACCAACTATTCAGAATGCTAAAAGCTAGAGCCTTATGTACACTATGTTCCAAAATAAATCCCAGATGGGTTAAAGAAACAAATAATTTTTAAAATGAAGCCTTAAAAAGCTAGAAGAAAATATAGGTTAATATTTCATCAGCTCTTAGAATATGGAAGGACTCTCTAAGAACAAAATGAGTAATTTTAAAAAATCAATAGATTTTACTTCATTAAAAATAAGAATTTCCTAAGTGCAACTTGGTATCCTGGAATTAGATTCTGGGACAGAAAAGGATACTAGTGGAAAACCTGGTGAAATCCAATGAAGCAATTTAGTTAATAGCCTTGTACTGATTTAATGTCTTAAATTTGACAAATGTGCTTGATGTAAGTTACTAACATCAGGCGAAGCTGGGGACTCTATGCAACTTTTCTGTAAACCTAAAATTACACCAAAATAAAAAGGTAAAAAAAATTAAGATACTCGCTAAGACAGATTATAATACAAATAAAATAATAAAGCAAACAACAACATATATGACCAAATGTTATCGTTGTAAACGTTCAAAGAATTTTTACAAATCTTGGCCTCGTTGCGGTGTTCACTGTCTTTCTCGCTGGGACATTAGCTCTCTGGAGGACAGCGATCTCTGTTTTGTTCTCCGCCGTGTCCCCAGCACCTGGAAGAGTGCCCGGCACCTAACAGGCACTTACTATTTGCTGCATAAATAAATGGACTGTAAAAACATTAACACCTCAATAGAAAAATGATGGAACTTTATGACCGGGTAATTCACTTCTCAGAAGGAAAAACATAAGTAGCCAAAAAAACCTTTTTGAAAATTTTCGGCTTCACTGATAAATTTTCACCTATCATACTAGTAAAGAATTTTTCAAATGACAATACACACCATCGAGGAGGCTTGGTGATGTGGGCACCCTCACGTGGTTCTGGCAGCAAACTCTGTGTAAAGCAATTTGCGATTCCTATTGAGGTCTTTGCCTTTACACTCTGCTTTAGGAATCCATCCTGCATCTGAGATGCTAACAAGAACTTTTGTTCCCATGTTTGAACAGGCCACGTGCCTCGTGCTCACACTGCCTCCTCTGCCTGGATCCTCTTTCCACTCAACTTGCCACTTGTTCTTGGCAAGTTTCTCTTTCAAGACTCGGCTCACACATACGCTGAGTTATATCCATGAATATGAGTGTGCATTCTTTCTCAACTTTACACCCCAGCAGCCACTGTTGGAAAGTTTTCACTGCTGCTAAAATGCAGGTTCAGTGTAAGCATAAGGCAGGAGGACGAGGGCTTAGAATGAGCTACCAAGGCAGAAAACTGGTAGAGAATGCTCACAGCTTCTACCCTGATTTCAGCTTCGTCCAAGGGGAGAGAAGAAGCAGGGTCAGGAGCTGAGACTGCAGAAGCTCACATGAGGCTCTTTTTCAGTGAGTTATGAGCAGATTTCTGCCACCAGAATAATAGCTGCCTGCAAGGGCTTTGGACATCAACGAGCAGACCCGAGGCTCATGCCAGGCCCACAGCCTGCCAGAGTGCGTGGCCTCTGGCCCGGGGCGCTCGTGACTGGAGTGGAGGAGGCCCACACTGCACCAAGTGGCAACGGTTTGAAGATGTCTTCTGGTTACAGTTTCAGCAGGTTCGAGTGACAAAGTGGTTTTTCTAATGAAACTTAGAGGGAAGGCTGCTTTAGCCTGAGCAGAAACCGAGAGCCATCAAAAGGTCAAATGTAAGAAACTGAATGAAACTTATACCTGGTACGTACATCTCTTTACAACATCCTTTAAAATGAGAATAATTTAAAATACATGCTATGGCTGGGATGGCTAGCTCTCTATCCAGTCTCCATTCTCTCTCCTTCCTCACTAACAGAAACCCAGGAACGTCATGGGGACCAAGAGGGCCAAGAGGGCCTTGTTGTCAAGCTGTTTGCCAGCTTCTCTTGCCAAAGGGGTGGCCAATGTGAAGTAAGTGGGAGTCACTGGGTTGTGTTTCCTGGAAAAATCTTGAAAAGATGCACATGCAGTCAGGACCCTTTGGTCCTTTCCTCCAGCTCTTTTCTTTCTGCCTGGAACCTGGACATAATAGCTGGAGCTTCAGCAACCTTATTGAACCATGTGACACACTGATGATAAAAGCCAAGTGCTAAATAAGTACAGCGAAGCAGGGAGGGGGAGGGAGCATGGGATCCTGAAGACTGTGAGCTGCTCACCTCTGGACTGCTTCTTTGGGAGAAAATGCAGGCCTTTACCTTAGCTTATGCCTGTGCCACTTCAAGTTTCTCTTAATTAGTAGCTGAAAGCAATTCCTGACTAATACATGTGCTTGGCTAATTATCAATGAACTTATCCTCAGATTTTGGTAAGGTATTATATTTTTGATTATGAAATGGGAAAATACACAACATTTTCTTTTGGCTTTTAAGACCCATGGGAAGCCTTCTTGTTTGCCCTATGAGGCCTGTGCTCCTGGTGGCAGTTTCACAAAATGCAGAACAAATGTGCCTGGGAGATAGGAATAGCCCAGCCCATTGGGTACACACACACTCTGCCCTGGGCCTCCCCGCACATCTCTTGGGACATGGCCACAGTCCACCTCACTATTTGCCAGTTCCCACTGTGACGGTTCCAAACTCACCCCAATCCCGTGTCCCCAACCCAAGCTCCAAAGGTGGGAATGGTTCCTTTCCACACACAGCTCCCGAGAGCATCATCCAATCCCTGAGGGGGTAACTGGCAGCTACAAGTAGAGCCAAGTCATTACTTCATCTCTCTGGTGTGTTTGAAAGATTGGGAAAAAATGAAGGGGCCCAGCTCTTGTTGGTGTTCCGCTTGGGTTTTTTCCTGGGAGGCTGCGCTGTGAGCAGACGCCAGCTTTCTGGAGCCCCTGCTCGGAGCCCTGGGAAATGAACTCATGTCTTGGAGAGTCATCCAGGGACAGGGTCCATTGTGTTCCTCTGGAATCATCTTTGAGAGTTGGATGTAAATCTTCCCGCCCTGAGGGGTGCTGTAGGCCTTATTTCCCTGCTCGGTGGGACCCTTCATCTTTCTGACTTTTCATTAGTCACACCTGCCTCCAGTCCCCAGTTTCCAGTGTTCCTCTTCTATGTTCTTGTTCAGTTTTCAACATTTGGTAAGCAGCTGCTCTGGGCCAGAGCAAGGGTGAGGGGGCTGCTCGTACTCTCACTGCTGGGGTCCTCATTTTCTGCACAGCCTCTCAGAACGTCAGAGCTAGAAAAGGTCTCAGAGAGTGGCTGTCCAGGGCACCCGTCTCGTCTGTCTGTCCTAAGTTGGTGGACAGTAAGATGCAGGGAACTGTATGTTTCCCCTTTCCCTCCACCCCCCACTCCACCCCCAGCTCTTGGCACAGTATCTTTGCTCAGAGCAGTTACTGAATAAAGGTGGGCTGAGTGGAACAGAAGTGACTGTGCCTCCTCCCAGGGCATCCCCTTGCCTCTGGGCACATCCTGTCCACTCCACTCTACCCTACTCCAACCCATCCTTCCCCAGTTCACCGGCCTCCCCTTTCTCAAGTGTAACAGCCTGGAATCAAGGTCTTCAAGGTTGAGCTCTGCACTGTCCTCACAACTTCACCTCCCAGAACCCGCCTCCAGAACCCTCTGCTCCTGCCCAGCGGCCTCCTCACTGGCCTCTAGGCCTTTGTATTTCAGAACTACAGAACCAGAAGGGATCTTGAAAACCTCAGGGGAAACAGGCCCGGAGAGGTGGCTGCCTGCCCGGAGCCACACAGTGACCTATGGGCAGAGCTGAGCCCAGCTCGCTCATCTCCAAGGTCTGGGTTCCCTGCAGGAGCACGTGATCTCCCCTGCAGCCCCACTCTCTGACTAAGAAACGGTGACAGTGATGTCCAACCACCCAGCTTTGCAAAACAACTTGCCTCGGGGTTGAGAACGACTGAGGGGGAAAGACTTCAAACCAGAAGGATCAATTTTCACCACGTGAAAAGCAGCTGAGAGCAGGAACTCCTCCTGGAACATTTGACTCTGACACGTGTGTCAGATCCAGAGCCCTCAGCCCCCGAGCAGGGGAGGCCATGTGCGGAGGGCGGGGGCTCCCCAGCACCAACCCTCCTTCCACCACAACGAAAGGCTGTTTCGAATCATAGGCTCCAAGAAATGATGAGTCAGAGTCACCAAATCTTAGACATAGTGGATCTTAAAAATGAAAGCTTTTCGAGATTCCTCTCCCCTTGACTTCCAGGACATCTGTTTTCCTGGTTCTGCTCCTGCTCCATCAGCTCTGCCCAGCGCTCCAGGGTGGCTGTGGGCCGAGGTTTACCCCCAGCCTCCGCACCGCATGCTCAGCTGTGCCAGCGTCTCTTCTCTGGGGGCTTCAAGCCCCAGCACTGCCGATGGCCTGCATCCTACTGGTGTACTCAGCAAACACTCTGCACCTCCTCTGCGTCAGGGGCTGTTCTAGGCTCTGGGATATGGTGGGGTGATTGCTAAAGCTCTGGCCTGGAGCATATTTTATTCCAGTCAGGGAGACAGAAAAAGAAATAGAGAAATAAACAGACAGGATGTCAGGTAGCCATACAAGCATGAGGAGAGAGAGTGACGGAGGCTGGGAGGCCCCTTGGGAGAGGGGAGGAGCCACACATGCTCCACAGGACGGGCCCTCCCTGCAGAGGCAGCCATGAGGATAAGACACCGAGGTGGGACCCTCCGATGACATCTGGGGAGATGCATGGAGGCCCGTGTGGCTGGAGCCAGGGGAGGAAGAGGTGGAGCAGAGGTCAGATACAGACACGTGTGTGGCCGGGGCATCAGGAAGAGTCTGTAGGTCATGGTGAACACTGCGGATGGGTTGTGCAGGTTTTTTTTTAAAGGACCCCTCTGGCTGTTGTGCTGAGACCAGTCTGTAGGGAAGCAGAGAGAAAACAGGTGACCATGTTGGACCCTCGAGTGAGAGGAGATTGTGGTCTAAGCGATGGTGGGAGTGAGGGGGAAAGAAGGGGCAAGGTTTGGAATACAGTTTTGAAGGTAGAGCTGACAAATTGGATGCAGGATATGAGAGAATGAGAAATATCAGACTAAGATGGGCAGGACTGAAGAAAGGGCAGATTTATGGAGAAAAGCAAAAGTTTACCTTTGGATGAGTTAATTTTGAGATGCCTTTGGACAAGTGTATGTAACAATCTGGAGTGCATGGGGGAGGTTTCCACCGGAAACAAAATTCGGAAGTGTCAGTGTACAGAAAGTATTCAACGCCATGGTGTGGGTGAAATCACCAGCAGCTACAACAGAGTCTGCCTGGGTCTCTCTGGCTCTATAACCCATGGGCAAGAACCGTACAATAGGAATAAAACTGCAAGTATTTTTGTGATCCTTATTTCATCACACATCTTAAAGGATAAAAAGAACTGGGAGAATGGAGAAAATGGAGGGAGTGGTAGCTTGTTCGCATTGATTGTGGACTAATGCATGCATTTGCTTTGTAACATTGCAGTCACCTCCCACCCTGAGTCTGGGCTTGGCCACATGACTTGCTTTGGCCAATAGGATGTTAGCGGACTTGACAAAAGCAGGAACTTGGTAAAACACTAGCAGGCTTCTATTTCCTCTCTTGTTCCTCTACCTTCATCGTAAGAATATGCCCAGGCTAGCTGTCTCTTGGAATCCTGTCACCATCATAAAATAAATCCAGGCTGGCCTGCTGGAAGATGAGACACCACAAGAACAGCTGGGTTATCTCTGCCAAGATCATCCTAGATCGGCTGTTCCCTACCTGCCTGCAGACACATGAGCTGAGCCCAGTCCAAATCAGCAGAACCTTCCAGCTGACCTGTAGATTTACGGTTGTTTTTGTAAGTCACTAGAGCTTTGGCTGGTTTGTTACACAGCAACAGCTAATAGCTACAGAGGGTGAGAGTTTCTTGAGAGAGAGACAGAGAGAAACAGAAAGAGAGAGAGATTGTATGCTGAGCATCTATCCCCATAAAGGAGTAAAGGAGTTCTTCTCCCTGACTTTATGCCAAGAGGACCACTCAAAGACTGGCTGTGTCCCCTAGGATTTGAGGCATGTAGGGGCTAGTGCCTGACTCATGTCCAAAGGCCCTGGGAAAGGCCTGCACTGTGTGCTTCCCATGGGCCAGTGTGGCCCTTGCAGGAGGGACCCTGCCTAAGAGGATCACCTGTAGGGTGGGAATGGGGTGAAGTGACCCCAGCAGAGGAGTTGACCAGAGGTCAGGCCTGAGGAGGGCATTGCAAGCAGCCAGCTGCAGCAGGGAGTGCCTGATCAATGTGAGAGACACCAGCAATAGGGTGAGCTCCAAAGAACCCACAAAAGCACCCCTGAAGAAATACAGCCAGGCAGCACCTACCCCAGTGCACTCCACTACCAGCGAAGGAGGATCTTTTGAGCTCACTCCCGCTCCTCTTTCTGCTGCGCCAACCCCAGGGCTAGCAATAGGGGAGTAGGTGGAGTAAGAAAGAGAGAAATCTGTGACCTTCTTCCTGCTCCAAGTTTCCAAGTTTGCATCAGATGCAAAAGGCTAGGATAGGATTCATTTGGGGTGGGGGGCAGGTAATTAGGTTTCTTTATGTATGCTTTAATTAATTTCTTACTTTATTTTATTTTTTAGTGGAGGCACTGGAGATTGAGCCCAGGACCTTGTGCATGCTAAGCACACACTCTACCGCTGAGTTATACCCTCCCCCAGGACTCATTTTAAATTGGAAGAGTCTGGAGTTTTAATGTTAGACTGGACTGGATTACTTACAGCTGAAATTGGTGAGGAAATGAAAGGGACTAAAAGGAGTCTAGGGAGCAAGTTTAATGGGGGCTGTTGAACCCAATAAACTGTTTCCAGTGTGGTGCTTCCCAGGACTCTGTCCCAGCCCTGCTCTCCTCACCCACACGGTCCCGGGAGACCCCTCCGTCATCAGCTCACTATTTGCTGATCTCTCTACCTCTGTCTTCAGCTCAGACTCCCCCACAGGACTCAAATCCACTAGCCAACCATCAGCTGACATCTCCCCAGGGATGTCTGCACCTGCTCCAGCACTGTCTTCTGAATTGGTGACCACGCTGCTGTACACTCTGGTGCTCAGGCCAGAGACCTTCATGTCCTTGCTATCAGCACCACCACCTCCTCCACCCCTCCCTCATCTCACCATCTCCTGCTGATTTTTACCTCCTGAGCAGCCTTCAGTCTTTCTACTTCCCCCAGGTCCCTGGCCAGCACCCTGGCCCAGTCCTTGCCTTTGTCTTCTCCTCGGACCATGCATCGCACTCTGATCCACCTGCACTCTGGCAGACAGAGTGAGCCTCCTGAGTTGGACCTTGCCACTCCTGTGTTTAAAACCCATTTCCTGTAGCCTTTAGGATAAAACACAATTTGGGGCCTGGTTCCCAAGGCTCCTCGTGGTCTGGCCACAACCAACTTCTCCAGCAATGACTGTCCACTCCCCTCCTTACACTTCTTGCCCCAGTCACATTGAATGGGCCATGACTTTCTTCCACAATATTCCCTCCCAGCTAAGGGTCTTTGCACAGCTGTCATCTTCTTCGCGGTGCCCTTCCTGCCTCCCCGGTGCCCTCCCACTCACCCTGATGGGGACGGATGGTGCAGAGTGAGCCCAGCAGGAAGCATGGGGGCTGAGGGCTCAGAGAATGACCTCTGTGGCCAACCCCCTCATTACCGTGAGTGATCAAGAGCAGACCCTGAGCACCCTGTCCCCACACCTTCTCCTGCCCCCTGGTTGCCATGTGGGGCTGGGCTTGTGGAGCCAGCAGCCCCAGCCCAGGCATGGCATCTCCAGGCAGGGCGTCAGCAGGGAGGGTTACCGGATGAGGTCCAGCAGGGGGTCGGCTGAGCTCATAATGGGCTTCCCGCTCTGCTCCGTAGTCTCTTTCTGGGCCGCACCGCCTGGGTGGATGATGGAGACCATGATGATGCCCACGATAACTGCCACGAAGGTGGTCCACAGGTAATATGCCACAGTCAGGATGCCCAGGCGGCTGGAGGTCTTGGCATCCAGGGAGGCGAGGCCGGACATCAAGCTGGGAGAGTGACGCGGGTCAGGTCCATGGGCGACCGGCCAGGCGCTCAGGCGTACCCGCTCTCGCCCCCACCCCCCAGCCTGCCCCAGCACCCTCACAGCACTCCGGGGCAAGTGCAGGCCTGCGAATCCCCCCAACAATCCAGTCCCCACGGCTCCATCTAGCCTCTCTCTGCTCTGCTTCCCCCCACCCTGCCTACCGTCACCAGCCAAGCCCGTTCACACCTGGAGGCTTCCGGGAGCTCTCTCCTTTGTCTGGGGTGCTCTGAGCAGCTCCCTTCACTTACCCCCCAGGTAAAACCAAGCTCAGCATCACCTCTTTGGTGACATCTTCTTGGACTACCTGCCTCTTCACCAGAGTTAGGAACCCCTTCTGGGTCTCACACAGCCCCTGGCTGCCTCTGTCACAAACCTGGTTGTCACTGTCATCTGCTTCTCACATCAAACTGAGGACCTGTGAGAAGAGAGGCAGATCTGACTTCTCTGTGGGTCCCTAGTGCCTCATGAGCGCTGGGTGCTGCCACCAAGCAGGTGACTACTGCAAGCTTTAGAACGAACTGAGTGAGTGTGAGTGAGTGAGTTAGAGCCCTGGGCTGGGAGTTGGTGACCTGGGTCCTAGTCCTAGCTCTGCCCAATGGCCATGTGACCTCAGGCAAGCAGATCACTCCCTCGTCTTTGGGCCTCAGGATCCCCATCTATGAAATGGGGCCATGGTTAGATTTTCCCTGAGAGGAGCCACCCTGTGGCCATCTTGGGTTAGTGCCCGACCCAGGCTCCCCTCATGGGAGGCTGTGTGGAGGGGGCTTGGGGGTCTCTCTCCCCAACCCCTGTTGCCCTGCCCGGGCCCTCTGCCCACCAGAGCAGGTCAGCCCCAGAGCTACTCATTTCATGACTATTTGGGCGGGGGTGGTGTGGGGCAGGTGGGGAGTGAGAGATTAGTTAAGGAGATGATTGCACTTTGCTTTGCTGCCAAAAGGATTTTTCCCCAAAGCCCTTTCATTCTTTCAGATAAGGGAAATATTTGCCTGGTTTTAATCATGTAAACAAGAGCAGATAATCCCTCCCCATCCACACTCCTCTTATCATGAGGTTACATACAGGCAGCCTCCAGCTTCAGGGCTGAGCACAGAAACCTCTCCCCCACCCCAGGCTGTAACCACATCCTGTGAACACCCTGCTCTTCCCTGCTCACTGTAGCAAAGGCTCGCTCCTCTTTTAAGACATAATTTAAGGGTCCCCTTCTCCAGGAAGCCTTCCCTGACCACTAGGCAAGGGTAAAGCCCCTGTGCGGCCCTCTGCCCAGCCCCACCTCACTGAGCTGATATTTACTGGAAGTGCCTCCAGGGCTGGGCCTGGGTCTGACTTAATGCTGGGTCCACTGAGCCAGGCAGGGGCCCAGTTGAAGTGTGGTTTGCTGAATGAAGACGTGAATAAATGAATGAATGAGTCAATGTTTACAATCTCTATTCATCTCTGTCTGCCAGGACGCCATATGTTAGTGATGGGCTTAGGGTGGGTCTTAGACATAAATCCTAAAGGGCCCATAACGAGATTGCGTGGCCTGGGGAAATGGGGGGCCACCCTACAACATTATCCATGAGAGAGATTATCCCCAGAAGGGGGCCAGCACATCCACTCAGGGTCCGGCAGGCCTCTGACAACAAAAAAATCTCCCATAACCAAGTTCAACTACTTCAAGCCACAGGAAAGCCATGGCCCTGAGAGGATGCCTTGCTAGAAGTCACACAGGACACTAGAGGCCAGCTGGACCAGAACTCAGTCCCAAATTCCAGGCCTGTTCCCTTTTATCCACGTAGTTGTTCAGTTCTTTAGCACATGCCCACCCGGTGCCACGCCCTGTGCCCACAGGAAAAAATCAGAGTCAGTCCTCAACCTCAAGTAGCTCCTGGTCCAGCAGAGGGGTGGAGGAGGACATGGACTTGGACACTAGGACAGAAGTGGACTCAAGTAAACAGTGAACAAGGTGGATGCATCAGTAACATAAGGGAAGGGACAAGGACGTGCTCTCTGTATTCAGAGGAGGGAGGAGTCACTTCTAGCTACCTGGAGGAGGGGGCATTTGAGTTGGTTCTTAGGATGTGAGGTTCTTTGGAGATGGGGAAGATGTGCCAGGCAGTGGGACACCAGAAGCCAACAGGGAGGGCGAGAGGCTGGAAAGTTTGAGGACGTTTTGCTATTTACTGTGGCCAGTGCTTAGGTTATATTTGAGGTACAGTGATGTGTGGGGCAGAAAAGATAGACTGAACTCAGGAGTGTCAGCGGCCTTGAGTGCCAGGCCAAGGGGGACACAGGGGAGAGTGGGATCCAACACAACTCATCTCGCAGAATTTGCTGGATGTCTGAGAAGGGAGAACTAAGAATTCCTTAAATCTGAAAATATCAAAGTAAAGAAAATATATAGGGAGGGTCACTGAAGTGGTTTGTAAGAGCAAAAACCTGGGACCAACTTAAATCATCAGTGAAGACTAGAGTAAAAGTTATAGCATATCCATACAGTGGAGCTCTAAGCAGCCGTTAGAAGTGATGGTGTCGTTGGGAAGATGTTCCTATTTAGAGTTAAGTGGGGAAAACAAGATACAGGATAGTTTGTAGCTCTGTGGGGGCCCCCTGGTGCCCCTGTGACCTCTCTCTAGGTCTGCAGTCCAGTTAAACACAGTCCTGCTTGAGGGACTGTGCAGATGAGGAGTGCTGATGAAAATCAGATTTCAGAAAGGGGCAAAGGGCCCCTCGGAGGGCCTCTCTGAGGAAGAAGAGGTCTCACACGGGGGTGGTGCCCACGCAGGGACAGATGGGATGTGGTAAGGGAGGGAATGCAGGTTCTGGACATAGCTCTGGAAAGGAGAAGACTGATGGGTAAAATGGAAAGAATTCCATCACCTGAGACCCAAGCAGTTCTACTCTGGAACCTCGCTCCCAGCCCCCAAAATGGAAAGGGTTTTCCTATTGGCTGAAGTCAGAGGTGAGCAGCGGAGATGGGGCGGTTGGGGAGGAGTTGCTGAAAAGAGCTGACAGAGCAGACCCACCTCTCTCTGGGCTGGTGCCTGCAGCATCAGGGTGACTGCAGGTGATGGCGGAGGCCAAGGAGAACGGGAGCCAAGTGTGGGGAGGGCCTGGATTCCACCTGAGACAGCAGCCACTTCCAGAACTCACAGTAACAAGAAAGGAGGCTCAAGCTCCTTCCATTTGACTGGTGAGGGCTCCTGGAGGTCTCAGACTTCTGGGCCAAGCTGTCAGAGTGGACTTTCTGAGAACCTACAAGCCGGGGTAGGGGGTCTGCAGGGAATGTTAGGCCGTATGGACATTCACAAGAAAAAAGCTAGAACATTGAACAGTAGCTGTCTTTGGGTGGTATGAAATTTTCATTTTGTTTTTAATTTTTTTCCACATTCTCTATTATTTCTAGAATAAGCATGTCTTGCTTGTATGATAAAAAAAAAAAAACAGCACTCCCAAGAGCCCAGCAGCCGTAGAAGCCACAATCTGTCTGGAGTTTAATTGTCCCTAAGCACTTGAACACCCACCTCTTTTGATTCTTAACGTTCTAAGTCGGCGCTGCCTTGCGGAATGCTAATGGGAGCCTTTTCTAGTAGTCACAGAAGGAAAGTCAAAAGAAGCCAGTGAAGTTCACTTTTGGTGAAATTAATTTTAATGATAATTTAACCCAGTATATCCAAAATATTACCATTTCAAATGTGCAATCAATATAAAAATGCTTAGAAAAACTGCTTCTGGTTTTAACATTTTAATTTAAATGAATTAAAAATAAAAAGTTCAGTTCCTCTGTTGTATTAGCCACATTTCAAGGGGTCATTAGTCACTTATGACTAGTGACAACCCTACTGGCTGAGCGGTTTGAGTTACAGGCGGGGAAAACAAAGGCCAAGGGATGGAGATAACTGGCCAAGCCACCCAGCTGGTGAGTAGAGTCAAGACTGGAACAGGGGTTTCGGAGTCCGCCTTGTGGGGTTTCCCCTCTCCCACAGTGGCTCTCCGTGGTACAGACCTGGTTTAACTCCTGTGGAAGAAAAATGTCCTCTGGTTTTGGCTGGCCGCGAATGTGATTCAGTCCATGTAACGGCTCTTTGGTTCCACATGACCCGCCCCATGGCTACAGCCCTCAGATTTGTGCTGCTGAGTCCCCCATCTCTGGAGGTATCCAAGTGGAACCTGGCTGGCCACCTGCTGGGGTGCTAGATCAAGGCTTCCAGAATGACTGGGAGATTCCATGAGGATGACTTCAAATGTTCCTACTGGCTCTGTGATTTATGGGGAGAGAAGATTAGGAAACCTTGCCTCCCTTACTCCCACGATGGCTGGGTGCTCCTGGGAGGCCCCCACATCCTCGAGGGCCCTGGGGAGGAGCTGCTGGAAGGCCAGGGGTCTGGGACTCCCTCCCAAGCCTTCTGGCCACCCCTAGGGCCCAGGGATTGTTGGTCAAGAGATTGCGGGAGCCGGCTGGGCTCCAGGGCAAGCCTGTTTCAATCTGGTAATTGCTCCACTTGCAGGGGTGGGGGAAGGGAGGCAGCAGCTGCCAGGCTCCTCAGGGAGGGAGGAAAAGGCTGCTTCCTGACCCTCTCCTGGTTCTCACACCAACCCCTGCGGTGAGTATTGCGACCCCTTGTGACACTGAGAGGCACCCACCGCTGCCTCCACCCCTCACTGTGGCGGGCAGGCAGGCTGCTGAGACTGCTGGGGGCCCCTCCCTATTTGCAGTCCTCAGTGGCTCCCCAGTTCCCTCAGGAACTGTCCACACTCCTTCATGGCTTTGGGTCACTCCCCTCCCCCTCACTAGCACTGCTCCAGCCACCCTGTTCTCCCTGCTGCTCCTTCAGCCACCTTTGCATTAGTTGTTCCTTCAGCCTGGAACTCTCTATTCCCCCACCCCACCCCTCATACCTCCCTAACCCAACAAATTTCCAGTTGCCCTTTCCTAGGTCAGCTTAGATATCACTTCCTCCGGGAAGCCTTCCCTGATGTGTC